TTAAAGCTATGGCAACAATAATATATTATTGAATCAACTATAAGGCGCATTGTTAAAATAACTATAAAAAAATAGTTGGCACCTTAAATCACTATAAATTATAGTAAAATTGTGGTAACTGCAACTATTTTTTTCTCTCAGTGTAATATCAGACTTTACGATCGCCGGTCATCTCCTTCTTGCGGCTCGCTCCGCAGGTATGCACGCACTTACATACATAGCCGAGTTTACAGCAAAATTTTACGCGTTGTAACGCTGGTTGGTGGTTTTTTTACGACATACGGCTTGAGATAAAATAAGGTATGTTGTGCGAAAACAACTGAATATTAAATTTTTCGCCTCGCTGAAAGAATCACCGATAAGCGATTCATGCGAGAAGTAAAATAATAAACTGTGTGCGGTCTTCCGTATTTAATTAAAAACATTTACAAAAGTGGACCAATTAATCGTGAAAATTAACCGTAACAATTTTACTACTGGGTCTTGCAACAACGCTAAAAGCGGGAGCGCCGCATCTAGCAGTCGAGTTTTCGCGACCCAGATGCGGCTTAATCATGACGTAATTACGTTTCGCGTCTGAAATCGCGCGCGCTTAAAGCACGCCCGACTCGTTCGTCTGATTTCCCGACGGGAAACCGCGGGCATCTCGAATTTCGACTTTTGTGGCAGAATTCTAATAACCGCGACGGGTCTGTAAATTATGGCGTGGACGGTATATATACGACGAGTCAGAAATGATTTGTGGATTTGACTCGGATGCGCGCGCAAAACCGCTCACTTCCGTAAACGCGGCGATGAGGGAGAGGGGGGAGAAGAGAGGCGACGTGAATTATAAGAATTATTGCCTCCTCCTCTTCCCCGCCGTTCTCTCTCTGAATGGCAAATTGGCGGCGATATAGATTTTATCGTCGGCACGTCGCGCGCGCGATTCGCACGCACGCGCGCGTGTAATGATATACGAAAACCAGGCCGGAGAAAGCAGCGAGAGAGGAACGGTGTGAGATTAAAAATTCAAATTATAACGCGCGCTTGTAGAATATCGATAAAAAAAAAAATAAAAAAAAAAATAAAATAAAATAAAACACGATCTCGTGTGTAGTCGCGAAGTTGGGAATCGGTGAGCGCGTTGCCCCGATTGCTCCGAGCGTCCCGAATAACTGGTGCTGCCAAACGGGTTTGTCCGTCAGTGACGATATGCAAAAGAGGACCTCGATCGGATGCGAATACGTTAGCACAAAGGATGTCAAAGGAATCCAATAAACAGCACGAAGGAATTCTCGATTGCCGCCGGGTGCATTACGAGCCCGTAATAACCGAGAAAATACGCTATCGCGCGTCCAAGTAATCAATGTATTTCCATACGGGCCGTGTGTGTGCAGTTCGATTAACGTTCTAGTAGTACAGTGTATATAAAGTAAAGGCAACGTGACGGACACACGTGTCACATTTTTCTGATCGACGAAAATACGAAGTGCCAATTGACCCGGATCCCCCGGTTTCGGGGCGTAAAAAACTATCACCGCCAGCCGTAGCCGTCACATCGGTATAGTTATGTTGACACTTCCCGAACGACGTATACGTTGTTTGAAACAGCTGGGACAGCACTTTTCGGATGGTCATATCGCCAAATATTTGATGTTTTGCAAATTTAATGGATCGTATATCTAGCGTACGTTTCGGTATATCAAACTTTAATCTTTATACGATATGTATATCTGCGCCGTTTATGCAAAAACGTTTCTGTTGATACAATCGTCGGGTTATATTCGGTGGAATTTGTAGAATTCTCCTTAATTGCTTCGAGAGCGGTAATTATATTCTACGGGGTGTCTGAAACTTTTTGATACGGTCGAAGTGTGAAGGTTAAGTGGGTTGTTCGAAACGGAAAAGTCACGTACGTGTCATTCTCTGTGTAAATTTCACAATATTTATTAGGTTATTATTAATCAATTAATCAATATATTATTAAATAATAATATAATGTTACATTATAATATTATCAATTAATTAATTAATTAATAACATGAGCCAATGAGAACGCGTAGGAAACGCGTGAGAGACGAAAAAACGTCTTTGCAGAATAAAACCACGTGATTTTCAAAAAAATCGATAAATCAATATCAGCTGATAGCGAAAAGCCGTTGCGTTACTCCGTTTCTCGCTGTTATAAAAAGTTATACGAAGTAAGCAGTTTTTCTTTACAACTGAAAATCACGTGGATGTGTACACGCCTACAGAGCTGATCGCTTCTTACGCGCTCATTGGTTCATTAATTAATTAATATCTTAATAACCGTTGCGAATTTTCCAAACTTGTGTATACGACTTTTCTCTCTGTCCCAAGCGATCTAATCTACATTCACACTTCGACGTGTGTCGAAAAATTTCAGACACTCTGTATATGTAACTGCTTCACATGATAGCAGAAACATAAGCAGAAAATTAGCGAACGCTTTGCGCCGGTGTGGTCGCGCGCTAATTTTTGTCAAGGTGCACGGCCGCTTAATGAGAAAGATACGGCGTTACGTGTTGCGGTAACGAGCACGCGGTCGCGAACACGAGGAGAAAATTCACTTCGCGAATTAGAAATGGTCGTGAGTTTATAAAACAAGGAAAGAGAAAACGAAGAAAAAGCAAAAGATAAAAAAATAAAAAAAAAAAAAAAAAAAAAAAAATAAAAAAAAAAAAATAGAGAGGAATAGCAGGGCGACGAGGCGACAAGGAGGTAATTTAAAAGCGGCGAGACCTTAGTTAAGTCCCGACGACAACGAGAGGCGCGAGACGCAGCGAGACGCAGCGCGCGCGGCAAGTCGTCGCGGCGGTGAACCACCCGAGTGAGGAAGAGAAGAGAAGACAAGAGAGAGCAAACAGAGATTGGAGCTATTCGCATACCACCGTCGTCGTCGTATAGCAACAGCACAACGACCGTGGTTGCTGCTTGTTTAGCTATGTTAGCTTTGGCGTGTTTCGCCCAGGCCGCCTGCAGGCTAGCCCTTCCTTATCCGCTTTCGTTACCGCATGACAGACGTGCTTCCGCCCTTATTGTCGGACGACCGTGCAGCTAATTTCGTCCCCCCATACGGTGTCTATATGCGCGTGCGCTCCCGTCTTCGTCATCCTTCTGTGTGAGCACACACAAGAACTGTCGGTGTCGTCGTCGTCGTCGTCGTCGTCGTCGTCGTCGTCGTTTCGTCTCCTCCGCGAAGAGAGAGAGAGAGAGAGAACCCGGGAATCCGTTTACCATAATATACTTGCAGATGGTATAATCACTTTAAGCACCGACGTCGTCGTCGTTGCTGCGCCAAGGGTTAATAAGGTTCACCGCGTCGCATCGCCCGGGCTTGACGTAAAAAAAGACTACCACCTCTTTCGCTTTTTATACGCGCATTTTGCGGCGCTCGCCATTACGGTACAGAAATCCGACGCAACAATAAGACCAGGAGGATGGGAGATTGTATATTTGTGCGCGGCGCGCTCGCGGAAAATTGTAATCTGGAACTGCGCCGGCTTGTTCAGTCACTAACTGGCGCGCGCGTTCGGTAATAATCGGCGCATCTATTACGAGTCTGCATTTGCATACAGGTGTAATTATGTTGCAGGTCCTCGTCCTGGCCTGTGCCCTGCTCGCCGCGGCCGAGACGCAAAACGAAACATCAAGCAAACAGCAGCAGCAGCAGCAGCAGCAACAGCAGCAAGGCAGATCGCGAGTTTCAGACGCACAATTAAACATGGCCCTGAGCGACAAACGCTACCTGGGCAGACAGATCAAGTGCGCACTGGGGGAAGCGCCGTGCGATCCTATCGGACGACGTTTGAAAAGTAATACGTTTTTCCTCAACGTTGAGCGAACAGATTTTTATCTAGAAAAAAATTTATCCCGCCGCACTCTGTGCTCCGCGATTATCCCGAACTTCAAATAAGATTCTAATCCTCTTTACTTCTGACGAACTTTTGACGAAGTTCGTCAATTTTTTATGAAGAGACTTCGGATGAGTCGAAGAAAAAAAGTTACAGAAGTATATATACATGTATCCGGAGAAAGATATGCATATTCTACCTGTAACGCTTACATTCGCGAACGAAATTTTGAATGCGCGTTAGAAGCGCGTGTGGGATTCGCGCGAGCGTGTAATTTCGCTGTAATTCCGACGAGTTCAATTTCCATTGCGGGGAGCTACGCGAACAAGGATTCCCGCGCTAATTGTCGCGTTTCCATCGTCGCAGAGTAAATATAGAGGTCGAACATTCTCGCGCGCGACTATAGAAATGGAAACTGTATTTGGTGAAATTATATGTGTGTACATATATACACCGCCCCGGTTTATCAATCTTCTGGAAAGTGATAAATATTAAGCCGACATATTATTATATGTTTGACGTTTGTTATTCGGATTACTCTCCGCGATGAGCGTACATATATTTATCCTTTGCGGGAAAATAGATTTTTACTTGTGTTAACACGCGCGTTTATTTGCAACTCCGCGAGAGGCTTCGCTCGCAAAAGGTTGAAATTAACATCGTAGATTTCGGGAGAAACGCTAGGACTACACGCGGAAATGTTAAAACGTCAAATATCGTTATGTCCTGCAATTACACGCGAATCCCACAGGAGGAGAAAGAGAGAGAGAGAGAGAGAGAGAGGGAGAGAAACGCGCCGCGCGTATATTATAAGCTCGTGCGCGAGCCCCGAAAATTTAACGTCGAAATTTCACATCGTTATTTTATCCAGGTTTAGTGCCGCTGATTCTGAGAGGTTCCTGCCCGCGATGTAACCCCGAGGAGACACGTCAGATCAAGAAGGTCCTTTCTCATATTCAGCTATCCTTCCCGAAGGAGTGGAACAGGATAGTGCAACAATACGCCGGAGTTTCGTAAACGAGATGTGATATAAGCCGACCGCCACGAGAGAGAGAGAGAGAGAGAGAGATGAGTGTAGTTGTACAGAATACAATAACAGAATACAATGGATGTTGTCTACGACAGACAATATCGATCATACGATTTATTCGGTATTATTGTTAACGATATGGCACGGAGTATATACATATATATATTACGGTCGACAAATAGATATACATACACAGTTTGTCCGGAAAGTTCCCGGACTACGTGAATTAAAAATCGAAAATGAAAGATATGGTTTATTAAACAAGTTTACACTTCAAGGT